TGCGGACACAGGTAAAGCTGCGGACACAGGTAAAGCTGCGGACACAGTCGCACAGCACAGAAACAGACCCTTCTGTCCAACCTGTCCACGCCAAACATAATCCCAAACTAAAAGTGGTCCCACCTGCCTCCGCTTGGCCCATATCCCTCCAGAATTTCTTATTCATGTAATTATCCAAATGTCTTTTAAATGTTGTAACTGCACCCCGCTTCCTCTGGAAATTATTCCACGGACCAAAGTCTGGTGTTACTTACAGAGAATGGCCACAGCCCCAGCTTCGAAGAGGAGACAATCCTGACGACTCCTGGATTCCAGTAACACACTGCAGCTACCAGGCTCCTGCTTCTGAAACACTCGGAATCCTTTACTCAGAGCCATGGTCAACCTTCAAAGAAAAACTCTGAACGCAGGTAAAAGATATCCAGCATGAGGCAGCCACGACTTTCACTTTCAACCGTCCGCTCTTTTTTCTTCTCATTTACGTTGCAACTTTCCCAAGCCGATTCACATGCCCCAAAACCACCACATGTCAGAAAACGCCTGAAAGGAAGAAGTAGGCGTCCAACACCGGACCCTCCCTCGAGACGCTTTATTCACCCGCCCTTAAGTAAAGAGCCAGTCCAGCTGACGGGAACCAATGGGACACGCAATTTTTGATCCTCCACTGAAAAACAACAACCTCATCTCAATCTTGATCACCTTTCCAGCAACTTGGAGCGCCATCGACAGGTCACAGGAAAAGCCAACAATCTTGCCAAAAACTTCACTGTAGGTGGGGCTGAGACGGTTGAGTAAAGCAAATACATTTAAATGTGCCCTCCAAAATTGAGGAATGTTTCATGGTAGGAAATAATCGACAGTATTGGATTTCTCTTGCTGTGTCAACTGGTTATAAAAACTGACAGCAAATGCCATAATAGGAATTCAGGGCAGGGTAGTCAAAATGGAACTATTTTGATTTTTGTTTCTGAATCAGCACCAAGCTGTAATCTTGTCACTGTCGGGATGATCCGCCTCATTACTAATAAAGTGTAAATCGAGGTAACATCTGGCCAATACAGTATCTTCTCAGGCCATAAAAAAGTAAAACCTGCGATTGACACACTGGTCCAATTGGGGCCAGGGATAGAAATCGCGGTGCACTCGGTCTACAGTTCTGGGCGCCTGATCTCACCAGCGGGCCCTGCTGAGTTTTGAATCCTGATATCTATCGGTGGGTCCCCAGCCCTCGGTCGACTCGAACGTATTTTGAAACGTTCAGTACCTCATTTCCAATTATGATTTTTTTTGCAGCACTTTTTTTCTGTGTGAGCAAAGTGCTGAAGGTAAGTTTTATTTGGGGGGGAAGAAAAGTTGTTAATGCAAAGATGAGCAGGCGTATTGTTCCGGACACAAAGGGAAGTCTGGACTTCTGTTGGCCTAGATTTCCTGCTTCTCAGCGACAAGTTGCTTGAAACAGTTTGTCTTTAGTCCCATCCCCCAGTTAGTTCCTTTAGCTGGATGACGTTGCTGCTGGTTGGCTGTCAGATTTCCCTAGTCTGCCCACTGTTGAAATTGGGAGGCAACAGATCCGACCCGAACTGAGGTGGAGCAGTTAACTCTGTGAGGCCTATGATCCAAAAATTGCGAAGCAAGATTGTCGTCCACTCCCACTTGTTTCTAATCAGTGATTAGAAAAAAAGTCTTCATACTGATTAGGCTGACATAAGAACAGGCAGAGAGACTGCACTCAATAATTCAGTGCGTTCCCAGATTTATAATTAGAGGAGCGAAAGATTTGAGAGATGGAAAATATAAACTTGCAGAGCAACTGTTTTGAAAATGATATCCAGAGTGGGATAGGAAGGGACACTAAGAAATATGAGCAGAAGCAGGTCATTCAATCCATCGAGACAACAAGGTGCAGGGCTGGATGAACACAGCAGGCCAAGCAGCATCATAGGAGCAGAGAGGCTGACATTTCGGGCCTAGACCCTTCATCAGAAAAGGGGGAGGGGAAGGGGGTTTTGAAATAAATAGGGAGAGAGTGGGAGGTGGATAGAAGAGGGATAGACCTGCACCTTGTTGTCTCAGATTCTCCAGCATCTGCAGTTCCTACTATCTCTCATTCAATCCATCGAGTCTGTTTCACAATTCATTGAGATCATGGATGATTTGATAATCCTCAACTCTATCTTCCAGCCTTTTACCCACAATCCTTGATTCCCTTACTGATTAAAAATCTATTCAGCCTTGAATAAACTTAATGACCTATCATCAACAGCCCTCTGCAGTAATGAATTCCATAGATTCACAACCATCTAAGGGAAGAAATTCCTCCTCACCTTTGTCTTAAATATGTAACCCCCATATTCTGAGATTATGCCCTTTGGTGCTAGACTCTCCCACAACAACATTTCCACATCTACCCTCTCAAGTCCTCTAAGAATCATATATGTTTCAATAAGTATATTTGCAAGAAATGATCTAATCAGATGATGTAGAATCCACATGGATGGATGCAAGAAAAAGCAAGAGGAAGAAGACACTGGGAATCTAAAGGTCTCATAACGGTAGCTATAGTGTCAGACAGAAGATAAATCTGGAGATAATGAGTGCTAGTGAAAAAGGCAGTACATTAATAATGGGTGGCTTTAATCTTCAAGCAAATTAGGAAAATCAAATTGGCAGAGGTAACCACGAGAAAGAATTCATAGAGCATATTTTGGATAATTTCCTAGAACTTTATGTTGTTTTCGAATTCGTAGAATTCCTATGGTGTGGAAACAGACCATTCCGCCCAACAAGTCCACACCAACTCTCTGGAGACCATCCCACCCAGACTCGTCCCCCTACCCTATCCCTATAACCCTGCATTTACCATTGCTAATCCACCTATCTTACACATTCCTGGACACTATGGGCAATTTACTATGGCCAACCCACCTGACCTGCACATCTTTGGACTGTGGGTGGAAACCAGAGCACCCAGAGGAAACCCACACAGCCACAGGGAGAATGTGCAAACTCCACACAGACAGTCGCCCAAGGCTGGAATCAAAACTGAATCCCTGGCACTGTGAGGCAGCAATGCTAACTACTAAGCCCTGTGCCACCCTTGTTTTGGATCCAACCAGGGATCTGGCATTATATAATTAAGTAGTTTTATTTAATAAGTGATCGCAGAGTGAAAGAACAGTGACCAGAACATGGTAAATTTAGCATTCAGTTTGAGAATGAGGAAATTCAGTCGAAAGCAAATGTGCTAAATGTAAGTGAGGATAATTACAAGGGAATGAGGGCAGAATTGTCTGTAGTAGACTGGGTAAGGGGTTTAGTTGATAAATTGATTTTGAAGATGGCAGAAAATATTTAATGATTCAGAGCAAACATATATCCCAGTGAGGAATAACGAATCTAGGAAGAGAATAAACCAACCATGGTTCACCAGGAAAGTTAAGAATAGTATCAAATTGAAAGGAAAAACATACAATGTGACAAAGATTAGTGGTAAACCAGAGGGTTAAGAAAGTTTTAAACACCAAAAAAATTGTCCAAAAAGGACAGAGAGGGATAAAATAAACTGTGAAGGCAAACATGCAAGTAACATAAAAATGAACGTAAGTGACCATAGGCCCCTGAGAGAGCAAGGCTGAGGAAGAAGTAATTGTTAGCCAGTAAGTGGCAGAAGGATTAAGTAAATATTTTGCATCTCTTCGTGCCACAGGACATTAGTAGTGAAAGAATTCCATATTTACATTTGCATAGTACATGACACTGATCTAGCTAGCTCAGAGCCAGCTCCAAGAGTGAACAGAACCTCTGACACTCCTGCTTTTATCTATCAGCCAGAGTTGCCTGACTGGGGCTGTTAACCTGGTCCAATCAGGGAACTCATTCTTCGAAATCCACCTAATGACCTTGTTTCTAACACTAGATTCCACAAACCACCACCACCACCACAATGTTCTGGGACGTAAGCCCATTCTTTTTCTGTAGCCTCTCCTGGGTCATTTTTCCACCGAGTCCAGGTCCTCTGACTGTGTTTTAGATACAGATGGCATGTAACGGACTGTAGCCTGCCTTTTATGCCTGGAGCATTTCAGAAGAGGTTCGTCTTCTTCAGGCAGTAATGGCGTCAAGACTGCAAAATCTGCCATCTCCGTCTCGTCCTCAGAGGTTACTTCGATAATAAATAGAGGGGGAGAACCCACAAGTTCTGACCGGCCTTGCCAGATGTTATGGCAGATCTTTTTGCTCCTACCACGTTTGCGAGATTGCAGCTTTCATGTGGTTCACATACTTGTTCAGGATTGCCTCTCCTACCTGAACTTTGTACAGCACAAGACCTGACATCACGTCAACATGCCTATTACCTATGACGGCCATTCCTGTGGTTTCGATGCCAAACTTCATCCCTTAGAGCACTTAGAGCAGTCTTGTGTCTGGCATTGGCATTCCTGACACCGTATCCCCGCAACTAGATCAGGAAGATCAGGTTTAACCTGATGCGGAGTCTTCTCCCCATGAGCGACTCTGCTGGAGCTATTCTGTATTTGCATGAGGGGTGGTCCAATGATCAAACAGGAACCAAGATAGTTTGGTATTAAGTGAAGCTGTAGGCTATTTCTTTAAGCCTGCCTTCAAAGTTTCGACTGCTTTTTCTGCCAGACCATTGGATGAGGGATGGTGTGGAGTTGTCCTTACATGCTGAATGCCATTTGATTTTAGGAAATACTTGAATTCCCTGCTGATAAATGAAGCCCTGTTGTCTGTAAACAACACCTTCAGGAGTCCATGTACTGCAAAAGATGCTTGCAACTTTTCCATCATTGTCCCCATATTCGACTAATGAACCCTGTGCATGTCTAACTACTCTGAATGGACATCCACAATGACTAACACCATACAGCCCATGGAAGGACCGGCATGGTCGACATGTAACTGAGTCTAGGGTTTATCTGGCCATTCCGACAAATGTGGGGGAGTTGCTGGTGATAATCTTTGCCCTTGATGGTACTCTGGACACTGCTCCACCAATGCAGCTATGTCAACATCCAGTCCTGGCCACCAGACATAACTTCTTGCCGGAATCTTCATTTTGGAATCCCCTTTGCTTTGGACAATCACTTGCGCTCCCCATAATAATATGCTGACCTCTATGGGGATCCTGTCTCTGCAGGTCCAGAAAGATTTCAATTCTGGTTGTGATGGTCCTTTTCTTTCCCCATCACCACCAGCTGTTTCAAGTTTTATCAGGACCAGACCCTTTTGTGTCCACAGTTTGATATTGTACACAATCACCTGGAAGGGTGTCCAGAAAGTTTAAAAGCAGAACAAACTCTTCTAGTGGCCGCATCAGCAGTGGTGGATCCACCAGAAGAGGTGGCTCAAGGCATCTGCATTCACCATTTGTCCTCCCGAACCATGTTCCAACTTGTAATTGTATGCATTCAGAATAAGAACCCAACACTGAATTTGACCTGAAACTATGGATAGCATGACCATTTCCTCTTTAAGTAGCCCTGGCAGCGGTTTGTGGCCCATTATTACAACAAATTTATGTCCGTAAAGGTATTGGTGGAACTTTCTCACACCATAGATGACTGCCAAACCTTCCTTTTCTATCTGGGCTCATTTTCATTCGGCATCAACCAAAGTCTGGGAAGCTTACACTATCAGGCTTTCCTCTCTGGGCCACAGGTGAGTCAACACAACCCTGGTACCGCATGGGGAGGCTTTGCATGTCAGCACCACATCTCACTTGGGATCGTAGTGTGCCAACACCTTAGATGATGATAGCTGCTTCTTCACTTCCCTAAAGACTGCAACTTGGCTACGAGACCATTTCCAAGGCTGACCCTTTTTCAATAGTAGATGTAAGGATACCGGGATGTAGGCCAGGTTATGTATGAATTTTCCGTAATAATTCACTGATCCAAGAAAAGACCTAAGCTCCGATATTGACATGGGAGCCAGGCCACCTTTGGTCACCCTTAATTTATCTTCCAGTAGGTGTAATCCGATCTTTTCAACCTTGTAGCCCAAATAGGTCACT